CGAGCGGAGAGACACCCCGGCGGGCTGGTGGCGAGGGAACCCCCCAGTTCTGTCCCCAAAGAGGCTGCTGGGTTGAGCGAGGGGACAGAAAGTGTTTTAAAATCTGTTCTCCACGTGTGGCCAACACACCACCCTGAGCTCTCCCGTGGTCCGTAGTCCCCAGCGGGGCCGGGACGACGTCCCAGTACGGCCGGTGCTCGTCTCCCCACGTCCCCTCCCCGACACGTCTCACTCTACCTCAGACATGATGAGGCCCTCCGACTCCGTCTCCGTGGCTTGCCCCGTCTGTGATGCATGCCCGTCTCAGTTAGTACTGTATTTTGCATTCAATAATAAAAGACAACAGTGGAAAGAATCCCGCGTGGGCTCTTCCTTGCCCCCTGCCTTTTGATCTCCAGAACGTGCCGTCTCTGTGTCCTTCCCTGGGCTGGGCTTCCCGCGGCTGAGGGGGCCCTCACCTCCCCTGACACCTTCCCCTGCCCAGCATCTGTGAGTCCGTCTGGTGTCTGGATTCTTCTCCTGCTTGTCTTTGCCTGCTGGACGCTGTTTCTGCTTTTGTGCAGCTTTCCTTTGCGTTTTCCCACATAGCTACGACCTCTCAGCCGGGCCGGGTGTGGTGGCTCACGCCTGTAATCCCAGCACTTTGGGAGGCCAAGGTGGGAGGAATGCTTGGCCCCAGGAGTTCAAGACCAACCTGGGCAACATAGCAAGACTCCATCTGTCTCTACAATAAATCAAAACATTAGCCAGGTGTGGTAGCATGTGCCTGTAGTCCCAGCTACTCAGGAAGCTGAAGGGGAAGGATCGCCTGAGCCCAGGAGGTTGAGGCTGTCGTGAGCTGGCATCATGCCACTGCACTCCAGCCGGGGTGAAAAAGCAAGGCCACGACTCCAAAAAACAAAACAAAAAACCAAACCAGTTACCATCTCTCGCTCTTGAATTTCAGCCTTTGCTTCGACTTCCTTCAGTGCGGGACTGCCGGTGACAGACTAGTTTTTCCTTCTCTGGAAATGTCTCTATTTTGCCCCATCCTTGAAAGATGTTTTGGCTGGGGACAGACATGGGCAGGTGGCCCCCTTCCCCAGCCCTGCCTCACTGTCCTCTGACTTCTGGTGCTGAGAACTTGCCATTAGTCTGGGAGCTGTTCTTTTGATGGGACAAAAAACATCTTTTTTTCCCCTCCAGCTATCAAAGATCTCGTTGGCTTTGCTTTCTGAGGTTTCCTTGAGGTGTGTCCAGGTGAGGCGTTCCTTCTTAGGATTCACAGTAAGTCTTGTACCTGTGGACTGGAAAATCCTCAGCTTAAGAAACTGTATTTCTCTATGCATCCTCTCTTCTGTCCGTCTGGGACTGTCACCCTGCCCTCTGCCGTCCCAGACCTGCGCAGACCCTTGAAGGATGCCGCCGACCCGTCTGTATTCCGCAGATGTTGGGCTCACGCTGCTGCGATCTGCACACTCTGTCTTCCAGTTCACGAACCCTCTTCCGTCGTGTCTATTCAGCTGTGAACGCAGCCACTGGGTTCTTAACTTCAGTCATCCACGCTTCCATTTCTAGAGGTTCCGATGGGTTGTTTCACACATCCACTGTGCTGCTCTCTCTGGCTTCCCGCTTGCCAGAGACGTTTCCAAGCTCGTCTCTTATAGACACAGAGCTGTTCGGGTCTCCCAGTCTGGACCTGGCACTCCGCCGCATGGCGTCTGCCTTGGTCTTGCACTTGGCTCCTGCTTGGCTGCCCTGTTTCTTTATGTGCCTGGTCACCTTCAGCACTCGCATTCCATGCCCTTGAAGGTGTGCTTTGTGTGGGTTCTGGAGGGCCTAGGAGGAAGGCCCGACCCCGGGGGCTTTCCGTCTGCCTCTTCCAGGCGCCTGGGGGCACGTTCCACTGGGGACCACCTCACCCCAGGTTCATGGCCTGAAGCTCCCTGGCCCAACGGCTTTGTGTAGCTCTCCAGGACGGGTCTGCCTCTTGTCAGGAGACTCCAAGGAGGGTGGACGTCGGCAGCGGCCCTAGCATCCCTGTACCTCACCTGCCTCTGCAGAAAGGGTAGGTGCTGGCCGGCTGGCGGCATCTTTTCCAGGAGGACGCAGCCTCCCTGAGCAGGAGGAGGCTGTGGAGAGGCTCAGGGGTCTGGTCCTTTTCCTAGGGCCATTTTCCCACGGACAGAACGGTATAGCAATCCTGAGTAAGAGGAATTGGGAGGGTGGGGCTGAGAAACACCTGCCCCAGCAAGCAGAACCACTCCCACGGGGGAGCCCCGCCTCACCAGAGTCACGTGCCCACTGCATGGGTGGGGTGGGGGGGTGTCACTTTCTGGCTTCAGCTTTCCCCCCCTCTAAGTGACAGAAGTCCTGTCGGGCTCTGAATCCTGGGGACTGATGGAATCAGAGGTACCTGGCCCTGGGCAGCAGGACCGGAAATCCGAAGGATTTTGCAACTTGGCCCTGATTTGGGGTGCCAGATTTGGGGTTCTGGCCCCTACCTTGTCACCTCAGAGCCTGGGCACCCCCAAGATGGCCTCCACACCTCACAGTGCTGTCCTGCCCTGGCCTCCAAAGTCAGCCACAGCCAGGCCTCTGAGGTGTCTTGTTCTCAGAGCACTGAAGAATGCTGGGTCCACCAAGTGCAGTGGCTCACGCCTGTAACCCCAGCAATTTGGGAGGCGGAGGTGAGAGAGAGGATTGCCTGGGTGCAGGGGTTCGGGATCAGCCTGGGTAACTTGGCGAGACCTTGTCTTTAAAAAAAAATTTTTTAAGCAAAAAAAACAAACAAGCAAAAAAAAGTTGGGTCTCTGCCTGGAACGTTGGCACAGGAAACTGGCTCTGCCCACAAGGAGCTTGGAGGTGGGGAAGGGAGGCAGATGGTGTGACACCAGGTTCAAGACTTCAAGAACACAGGGCCTGTGCGCATTGAGGCAGGGGAGGGCCCTTCAGCTCCAGGAGGGAGAATGACAAAGGTCAGAAAGAGAGGCTCATGCTGGGTGTTGAAGGATGAATAGGAGTTTAACAGTATTTCAAGCAGAAGGAATAGCTGTGAAAAGACACAGAGGTGTGAAACTGGGGAGCCTGGAAACTGCCCAGAGGCCCGTGTGCCTCCCTGCAGGGCTGGCTTCCCTCTGACCTGTCCTTGGAGGTGCTGTGCGTGGACCTGTCGCCACAGCTGGACGGCAACTCCTGGACGACATCCCCATCTACCAAGGTAAGCCAGGGTCCATCCTCCCCCCCTGCCGTCCCCCTCCAAGCAGACCCCACCTGGCCTTCTGTGTACCCAGCGTCTACCTATCCATGAAGATTTCTCCTCAACCTGCACCAGGTCAACCTGGGCTGTGCAACCAGCCGACACTGTCCCCTTGGGCAAGTCCTGGGCCCCCTCTGGCCAGTTCCCTTCTGGAGCCTGAGGACATCCATCAACGCAATTTCCAGGGACCCTCTGGTCACCGGGAGGCCCTGCTGCACAGAGAGTCCCAGTGAATCTGGGGAGGAGATACCAGGAGGCCCTGGGCGTGTCCTTCCGCCTCAGTGGAGACCATAGCCATCCTGAGTAGGCCCGCAAGCATTCATCCCACTTGGAGAAAAGTCAAGGCCCTGCGCGGCGCGTGAGACATCGCAGCAGGCAGTGCACACAGCCTGTGTGCGTCGTGACACAGAGCCACCTTGCTCCCAAGATGGCTTTGGAGCTGGCAGTTCAGATTTGCAGGTGAGGATCACGGTAGGCGCTCAGCCCCAGGAAGGTGGGAGGGAAGGACCACGCTTCTTTTTCATTCCAGCTCCACTCTTTCTAAATTTAGCTTTCTTATTTTAAAACTGCAAATGGTGAACTCCCTGACACCGTGCCGAAGATCAAAGGCAATCTTTAAGGATGCTCTTTGGAAGAAAAGCATTTGGGGAAAGACACAGATAAAAGCGTGGCACATACCTGCCACTCCTCCCAACGAAACCACCCAAAAAGGAAGGAGCTCGCGGACAGCCGGACCCGGGACCTGGGGCCCGGGCTAAGAAATCAGATCCACAGAGGACAGTGCTGAGACACAGCCGCAGCGGTTTCCTGCCGGGTCCTGTGTGTCCCCAGCCAGAAGCATCAGAGCTCGGGGTGCATCATGAAAAAGAAACGGGCCTTCAGGGCGGGGATGTGGACGGCGTGGATCCAAGTGAAACTGACGGGATAACAATTAAAGTCCTTTCCTTTGCGTCATCTTTCCTACTCGTCCCAGTGGGCCCACTTTACAGGTGAAAAAACTGAGGCTCAGAGGAGCAGAGCATCAGCAAAGGCCCCAGGCAAGCAGGGGGTAGCCTGGGGACCTGAACCAGTCTCCTGGCTCCAAACTCCACAGGTGGCAAACAGCGAGGGTGTGTGCCAGCACAGGGGTGAGGTAGGTAGCCTGGTAGACAGGGGGCCTTCTGACAGTCCCCCAGCACTCATGGGGAAGACGGTGGAGTGTGGTCCGTGACTGACATATTAAATTTGTGGCCCGCCCCCTCTGCATTTCTCACTGACTCCGCTACCAGGGATGCCCTCCTCACTAGGTCGAGGTCTGCCTCCTCCAGGAAGTTCTCCCAAGTAGCCTTGCCCCACCCTCACCTGCCAGCAGATCCTTGGGCTCTTGAAGCAGCCCTCCGTGACGGCTCGGGTGGGGTTGTGTCTCATCAACCTGGGCAGGAGGGTCACCAGGGTCCCTGCCTCTCCACATCGCTTCCTTACCAGATGGCGCATCTGTGCAGCCAGCAAGCATGCCCACTGGACAAGAGGCTTGGGCAGACCAGGGACCCAGCGGGCCACAGCTGGGGCAAGACGGGCCGGGGTCCTGGAGGCTGGCAGGGCCTCCAAGCCCCAGCAGTCCCTGGGAGCAGACCTGAGACCCAGGCCCATCCCCCACTGGGACTCCTTATCGGGGCCAGCAGAGTTCCCATCTCAAGCGCCCACTCTTGTTTGTCCCAGGGCCCTGGTGGGCCTGGGAGCCAGGAGGCGAGAGGAGCGGCCAACACACCGTTGCTCCAAGAACTTCAGAAACAGCAAAATGCTCACATTTATTGAGTACCAGTGGCACCTGCCAGGAGCTGTCACGAACACAGTTCTCACAACCCTAAGCCAAACAGATGTGTCCCCCCATTTAACAGAACAGGAAACGGAGACTCAGAGGGTGGGGGCAGCCTCCGCCCAGATCTGGCCTCCGGCCAATCCCTGCACCCGCTGGGCTCCCACTCGCCAGGGAGGAGAGGCCAGGGTCCCTGGCACCAGAAGCTTGACGTCGGAGGCTCAGTGCCAGACCTTCACTTCGCCTCCCCAGGAGCAGGTGGCCAGGACGGAGGGCAGCACGGGGTGGTAGGTGGTTCCCACGCAGGCCTGTGTGTGCGCCTGCAGCATGCATGCCCGGCTGGCCGTGCGGAAGCTGTACATGAGCACGCGGCCGTCGGCGCTGCCCGTCACCAGCAGGTCACCACACGGCGAGCACTCGCAGCCCACGGAGTAGCCCTCCACCTGCAGGGGCGACACAGGGTGAGAGAGAGGGTCGTCGTGCTCTCGAGGCTCCCGGTCAGGGCCCATTCTGCCGAGCAGTGGAGCTGGCTTCACACCCGGCATCCTGTGGCCTGGTTCTGAGCTCCTCCCGGACGCCGCAGGGCCCCGGCATAGGTGCTATATCACGAGGCCAGGCAGCAGAAGCCAGCCAGATCCCCTCCAGCACCGCTGAGGGTGGGTGTCGGGCTACACGAGTCACTGAGTCCCCAGCCACGCGGCCTCAGTGGGGAAGGGGAGGATGCAGACACGGCCCTGTGCTCTTCTGTCCTGTTCCGCCTCACTCTCATGGCCTATCTGTGTGAACTGGCCGATGCCTCCAGCCCGGTGCTGGGGTCAAGACTAGCTATGGCCCCGAGGAGACATGGACCACATGCACGCATCCACCCAGGACCCAGAAGGCAGCGTCTCCCACCCAGAGGCTCCATGCGCTGGGGCCCCGTGTCTAGTGCTCCCCCGGAGGGAGCTCTGAGGCCCATGCTCGGCACCTGACCTGGGGGACAGGGATGGGGTACCTTGTGCCCTTCGTAGCGCCGCCTTCTGCTCATCCGGTAGGGCCATACGGCTGAGAAGAGCGCCAGGTAGTTGCCGTTGGTCTGTGCCAGGAACACCGGCTCCCTCGGGTGCAGGGCGAGGCTCGGACAGGTGTATCTCTCCTGGAAAACAGCAGGGCCAGAGAGGTCGGAGAAGGCCCCGCCCAGCCTTCTGCCTCTGAGACACGCCATCCAGCTCTGCTCTGGGGCCCTGGGCCTGCTGTGACTATCTCCCACAGACTAGTGGCTTAAGACACACATTGGTCACCCTGCAGTTCTGAGGTCAGAGGCCTCAACAGGCCTCACTGGGCTAACCTCAAGGTGTTGGCAGGGCTGTGTTCCCTCTGGAGGCTGTGGGGGGAGTCCCATTTCCCTGGCCTTTTCCAGCTTTTAGAGGCTTCTGGCATCCCTTGTGGAAGGCTCAAAGATGACTCCCCCAAAATACGTTCATGACCTAATCACGGAGACCTGGGAGAGTTACTTTATGTGGTCCAAAAAAGGCTCTTTGCAGACATAACTAAGGACCTTGACATGAGGGGACGGTCCTACGTTATTACCCTAAATGCAATCACGTGTATCCCTAGGGGAGCGAAGCAGAGGGAGTCTTCTGAACCATGGCAGGAGTTATGTGAGGATGCCAGCCTTGCAGATGAGGGTGCAGCCACGCGTCTGCCACACCGCAGCCACCAGCACTGGTGGGGCAGAGGGGCTCTCCGGCACTTCCAGAGGCAGCACACCCTGCCAGTGTTCGATTTCAACCCAATAGTACTTCACATCTATGAAGATCTCCTGGTCTCCAGACTGTGAGAGGATACATTGTGTTATTTTATTTCTTTTTATTTGTGTGTGTGTGTGTGTTGGAGTCTTCTTACTCTGTCGCCCAGGCTGGAGTGCAGTGACACACTCATGGCCATCCCAGGGTTGACCTGCTGGGCTCTGGCAATCCTTCCACCTCAGCCTTCAAAGTAGCCGGAACTACAGGTGCGCACTATCACGCCCAGCTAATTTTTTATTTATTGTACAGACGAGGTCTCACCAAGTTGCCCGGGCTGGTCTCAAACCCGCAGGCTCAGGCAATCCACTTGCCTCGGCCTCCCAAAGTGCAGGGAGCACGGTCCATTGTGTTGTTTTACGCCAACAAGTGTGGTAATTTGTCACAGGGATGGAAAACAAATCCACGTGCCCAGTTCCCCCATCCAGAGGGAGCACGGCCCAGCCCAGCCCCCCCACAGCCAGAACACATAGACAGCAAGGAGCTAAACGGCCAGACAAGAGGAGAAAGGCATGAACACACTGCCAGACACAAAGGGACGGGGCTGGACCTGGCTGTTGACAGACATGGTCACAGAGAAGACACCTCGAACGCCCCCAGCCTGGCTGCACATTGTTCTGAGTATTGTCCTTAAGCCACACTCTAAATGAGCCCCGACTTGAGGGCAGTGTGGACAGCGGGGGTCACGGCTGCAGGCGAATGAGCTGTCCGCAGCACAGAAGCTGCGTGGGCCAGATAATGGCTTCCCCGGTGTGATGTCACCTCACAAGGAAGTGTGGAGTGTGGCTGCAGGAGCCAGTGGCTCAGGCGCAAGGCACCCTTTCTGCCCCACTCCCTGGGCTCTGCTGGGACTCTTGGAGGCAGGATGCCCTCAGAGGCCAGTCATGCCCCTCCAGCCCCTCCCCGTGGGTGGCACCAGGAAGCCCCGTGGTGAAGGTCTAGAGGGGGCTGGCTCAGGGTCATTTAGGGCCCTCTGAGCACAAGAAGGCAGGGAGGAAAAGAAGGCGTACCCACTAGACATATTCCACGTACACATGGATGTACACCATACACACATGACGGACGCTTTCAATTCAGAGCAGGGGCACCAAAGACGTTAGTCATGGCTTAGTTGGCCTCTCAACCGATGGTGACGATAATGGCAGTGATGGTGGTGATGGGGAGAGATGGTGGTGATGACAGTGGTGGCGGTGGTGACAGGAGATGGTGGTGGTGACGGTGGTGGTGGTGACCGTGGTGGTGGCAAGAGAAGGTGGTGATGGTGACAATGCGGACAGCAGTGTCAGTGGCGGTGGTGATAAGAGATGCTGATGACAACAATTCCGGGGGTGGAGGTGGTGGTGGTGGTGGTGGGTGCGACAGTCAGAGCATAAGGGAGCGCTCCCTGTGCCTGGAACTGTTCTGTGCCCTTCATAAATATTCGCTCTCTCTTAATTCTCAGAACTGCTCCAAGGCAGGCGATACTATTATCCTCAAAGTTCTAATGAGAAGAGTGGAGGTCAAAGAGGCTGGCTACAGGCCCAGGGCCCCCCTCCGGTAAGGACTGGCTCCAGGCCCCGCACGCAGGTCGCAGCTCTAACTTGGGGCCCTGCTCTGAACTCCTGGGTCGCTGCCCTGCCAATGCCACTGAGTCGGAAACCCCCTCTGCGTGGCTGGGAGGTGGGAGGGCGGGGGCTCCCAGGTTGGGCAACATCTGGATTAGGTCGCCCCTACACCCCCACGCCCCAACCTGGGAGTGGCTGTGCTGGGAAGCGGAAGGAGCGGCATCTGGACGCCTGCAGCAAGCACTCCTGCACGCAGCTGGCGGGGGCCCGGCCTTTGCCTCCCCATCCTGGAGACTTCAGACAGCTGAGCCCCTTCCCACAGGCAGGGCCCGGGACCCCCAGCAGACCAGCACTACAGGGCTACATCCCGCAGCCAAAACTGACAGCGATGCCAACTTCCACTCACGTGGAAAATCTGGTTGGAGATTTTGGCGGAGGTCCGGAAATCCCAGGCAATGATGGTGCGGTCAGCGGAGTCCCGCGTGGACGCGTCTGTGCTGCTCAGGAACTCGGATCCTTCCCGGAGGAACAGGATGTCCAGGGTCTGCTGGATGGTCGCCTTGTAGCGTCTCACCACCTGCCAGAGCGGGCCCGGTCATGCTGGCGGGCCTGGGAGCACAGCACAGGCGCCCGCCTGGGGAGGGCCGGGAGGACAGCCGCGCACTGGGGCGGGCGGGTCTGGCGAAGGCTGCGCTGGGCCCCCACAACCAGGCCTCCAAGACGCGTGCGGCATCATGGGACCCGCCCGCCTGCCCAGCCCCTCTTCCCTGCCAGGTCAATGCCCGTTACCCTCACTCGGCAGTACCTCCCCCCCAGCACGTGGATCCAGAGGCATGGCCCCTCCCCAGCTGGACTGGTGCCGGCCGTGCCCAAGGGCCCCTCTCGAACCTCATGACATCCATCAACACCAGGGTCACGTGCCATGCGGGAGCAAGTTTTGCTTCTGGACATCACACCATTCACAGCTCACAAAGTCCCAGACTACTGTCCCCGGAGGAGCCTCAGTCATGTGGGAGCAGGTGTTTTTGGAAACAGCCCATAAGGCCAGAACCACAGAAGGGATTTCAGTGCTCAAGACGCTTTTTATTTTCCAAGCACCGTCCCCGATGTTTCACAGCCTCCTGCCTCGTAGACTGGCGTTATTAAGCATCAAGCACTGGTTTTGCTTTCTTTAGAGCATCTTATCACATTCAGCTTCTGCCCTACGATACCTGGCTTGGGTGGGGCCCCAGCCCCAGGACTAACCAGTCGCTCCACTCGACAGACTCACAGAGGACACGACTTTAAGTTGCAATATTGCACAACAGGCCAGTGACCACCAGCCACGGGAAGCGCAGTCGAGGTCTCAGGCCCACCTGCTGGGCCAGACCGGCCCACTTTCCAGTGCCTGGAGCGCCGCCATGCGGCCCAGCACAAGCACAGTTCTCCAGCGCCTGGGCCCTGCCAGCACAAAGTGAGCTTTTGGACAATTCTTTCAAAAGCAGAGTTCATACCTTTCAAATTTTGCAGACATATTTCCTACCAGCCTTTCAAATGTATCTGTCAAATTCACACTAAATGCAGCACTTCATGAATTCAGCTGAGGCCAGAGAATAAGGGGGGTGGAGACCCATTCTCTAGATGAGGTACACTGAGGCTTAAAGTGATGGAGGGATTTGCTCAAGGTGGCACCGCCAGGCATAGTGGCGCCTCTCCCACCCCAGCTGCTGCCCTGGGGCCCACAGGTCTGTTCTGCTGGCCAGTTCCCGCCCCAGCAAGTTCCTGGAGGAGGAAGGGCGACAAATGGCTGCTCTGCTCAGGGCTGCTTCAGAAGCGACCCTCAGCGAGGGAGGTTCCTGGCAGGCCCTGGAGCCTGGGGATGGTCCAGGGCTGAACACAGAGAGACAGGCCGGCCCTCCCTGGACTGCTGCCCGCTGCCCGGCACCTGGATCCCTGGGGGCTGACCCAGGGAAAGGCTGGAGGAAGATGGGGGCCCCCTGGCAATCTCTGGGTGCCCATCAAGGGCTAGCACGGCAGCGGTTCACATCCTCTTGCAACAGCCACTCCCGGGGGTGGCCTGAAGGCCCAGGCGGGGCAGCAAGTCCAGGAGCCACCGTCGCCACTGCAGAGTCACCTGGGCCCCTGCCAGCTCACCCTGCCTCCCAAGACAAATTTCTCAAGGAGAACGAAAAGCCGTGTTCTGTGTACTTCCCGAGAGGGGACAGAAATGGCCCGGTTCATGAGGGCCTTGTAAAAGCCAACGGCCAGGCAGCAAGCGTGTTAGGGCCCTTCCTGCTGGCCACGAGCCGTGTGAGGGCTGGCCTCGGCGTGATCACTGAGCGTGATGGCTCGACCACTCGTGCTGGGAAAGAGCAGAGGAGCCATTGGTGCCGGCTGGCAGTTTTACGGCGACCTTGATGACCCTGACAGCTGGCACCCCTGTCCCAGGGTGTGGGGGGAGCTACCGGGTCTATGCGGCCAGATGCAAAGGGAGCCGCACTCAGACTCTTCCGGCAAGCGCTGGCCCCGCTGGACTGGCAGGCACTTCCCCCTGGGCGACGGAAGCCACTGGATGTCCCCACCACCAGCACAGCACTCGGGCTGCCAGCAGACAGTTCTTGCCACTTCCAGGGTGCCTGGGGTCAGGGTGCACGGGAGGCCCTGCTCTCGGTCTAGCTGCTGATTTCCTGTGTGCCCCGGGGAGGGCCCCTTCCCTCTCTGGGCCTGGACTGGACAACACCCGGGCCTCTAAGCACTGCTTGTCTCAGGAAGGCGAACAGGAGAGCTCAGCCATTCCTCACTCCGCCCTGCCAGTCCCCCACACCTAGCACAGAAGAAGGTGCGGGGAGGCGCTGCACTGGGCTATCACGCAATCCTGTGCGCCTACAGCTGCCCGCCACAGCACCGTGGGCTCTGAACATGCCCGGCTACCCATGTCGCTGGGTCACCACGGCTAGTCCTGGGTCTGCCCACAGAGGGCACGAGCGAGGTGTGAAGAGACAGTGGCTGGAGAGGAGAATGAAGGGAATGTGAGTGGATGGATGGACACGAGGGCGATCACTTTGCAAGTGGCAGGCCAGGCACCTCTGGCTCCCGGCAGCGTCCCGCGCTCGGGGCTGAGGCGACACACACTGAGCCTCAGCCAGTGGCTCCAAGGGCCTCCCAGGAGACGACATTCCCTCGGGGGCCTTCTGTGGCTCTGGTGAGCCGTCCTGCCCCAGCCCCCGGACACACGGACACAGGAGAGCTGCTCCCAGCCTGTGGTGGAGGAACATAGCAGAGGGACGGTGCTCACTGCCACGGGGTCACAAGCACCCAGAGTCTGGCCCAGGGAGTGCAGGGATGAGATGCCGAGCAGGAGGTCCCAGCTCCGAGACAGAGACCTGGGTGCCTGAGCCTGATGGACTGTTGCTAGCTGTGTGACTCTGGGCAAGTGACTGGCCTCTCTGTTCCCCAGCCTCCATGCCTCTGCAGTGAGGACAGCAACAGGAACTCCCGCTCAGGGATAAACAACGATGATATGCCCTGCAAAGTGTCCAACATGCAGGAGATGCTCATAAACCTGCGCTTCCCAGGCTGGCCAGAGTCACAATCCCCAGATGGAGCTGTGAGTTCTTGGGCAAGTCCCTTCTCCCTGGAAATAAACACACGGGTCTCTTCAGAAGCTAGGTTGCGAGGCCAAGTGTACCGGTAGGCACAGGCTGAGTGGATGGGCAGGCACAGACCCATTTCTTTTCTTTTCTTTCTTTCTTTCTTTTTTTTTTGAGTCAGGGTCTCACTGTTGCCCATGCTGGAGTACAGTGGCATGATCACGGCCACCACAGCCTTGACCTGCTGGGCTCAGGCAATCCTGATGTGTGCTACCATGCCCGGCTAATTTTTGTATTTATTATAGAGCTGAGGTCTCGCCATGTTGGTCAGGCTGGTCTCGAACCTCTGGGCTCAGGCAATTCTCTCACCTCGGCCTCCCAAATCGCTTGGATTACAGGCGTGAGCCACCACACCCATCCCATTTCTGTGGTCTAATTCACACAAGTAAAAGTAGCCAATCACTAGGATAGTTAGCGAAAGGGCCCTGTGGGTACCTTCAAAAAGGAACTGACATGTACATTAAACAAAAGGGAAAAGGCATTTGACAAAAGAAACCATAGAAATATGAGAAGAACACATTTTTCTACAACTTGGGACTGGGGCAAACTTTCCCAGATCTGACTCCAAAGCCAGAAAAGCAATCACAGAAAAGATGAGCAAATTTGACTACATAAAAATGACAATTTTTATGGCAAAAAGCTTTGCATGGCAAAAAGCGAGTAAATAAATAATAAATAAGTAAGGTAAAAAAGACAAGTGGGAGGAGTATTTGCAACTTATATTAACAGGCAAAGGTTGTATGTATGTATCTGTGACACACAGACCGTTCCTAAAAATAGATGAAAACAACCGTCTGCTCTACAGAAAAATGGGCAAGAGATGTGAACAGACTCAGAAGAGAAGAAACAGCCCTGCCACATGGGTCCTCACAGGAGCAATGCAACTTAATCACACGGAGACACCACTTCCTACCTGTCCAATTAGCAAAACCTGAAGGTCTGACCAGGGCCTCGTCAGGTGGTCCGAGGGCGCTGGGCATCGACACCCAGGTGCCAGAAAGGCAAAAGGACAGGCACTGGGCAGAGGGCTCCAGCAGCTCTAAGCAGAGAAACCAGTGCACTGTTAGCGGTCATCTGTGTGGCCCAGGACTCACTTCCAGGGACGGACTCTAAACTTGCGTTGGCAGAATCCCAAACAGACGTAAGCACAAGGCCACTGAAAGCAACACTGCCTGTAAAGATAGAAAACTGGGCGCAAGACAGTGTCCACCAAGACAGAACCGGTTGACATGCCATTCAGACTCTGGGCTACGATGCAGTTGCAGGAAAGAATGACGACTGTCTCCCTAACCCACTATCAGGGATGCCCAGGATACGTTGTTTCGTGAAAGCAGGTAAGTAGGAGAAAAAGGGGTTTCAAGGAAGCAGAAAAGAGGTGACGTCAACAGAAGTGTGGTTGCCTCCACCAAAACACAACAAAAAGATTACCAGAAACTAAAATAAGTAAATAAATAAGATTGCCTCAGGAGGGAGGGAGGAAGTAGAATGCGGGAAAATAGAATAGAATAAAATGAGGCAGAACTCAGCTCATATCTCTCAGGGTACTTTGTTTTGTAGATTTAACTCCAAAACAGGGATCATACTTTTTTGTGTGTAAAGGGCTAGGCAGTAAATATTGAAGGCTTTGTGGGGCACATATAGTAACTGTTGCATATTCTCTCTCTTTCTTTCCCTCTACCTACCCCCCTTTCTCTTTGTGTGTGTGCTTGTGTCAGAGCTGGTTAAAAATGTAAAAACCATCCTTAGTTCAGAGGCCCTGTAAAAACAGATCACAGGCTAGATTAGGCGCAGGGGCTGTGGCTTGCCAACCCTTTCTCTGGACCCATGTATATATTTTATTAAATTATACGATAAATTAACTTAAAAAGCAATCTCTAAAATATGATAGCAAAATTAAGTAAATGAAATTAACCATGTATTGATTTGATAGCTTGACCACACAAATGAG